GGTGATCCTGCATGGATTATATTCTCTGTCCATGTCCTAAAGTAAAGGTCTAGAGAATTCCCACAAGATAAACATCTCAGCTTTATTGAGTTTGTCAAGGCCTATGATACCACTTTCAGAGTCCCTGATTCTCTGCTCAGAATCATTAAGGGCCTTCTTGGTGGTGGGCAGGAGTCAGAGTTATTCCCTGTTCATCTTGGGGTGCAAGAGGGATGTCCTTTGGATCCGACATTATTCAAAATCATCATTGACCACATTTCTTGACGCTTTCCATGGCGGTAATGGAGGAATTTCCATCTGGTACAGATACAATGAGAAGCTGATCGATGCCCCGGCGTGGTTGAGGGGTGTCACCCTATTGGTCAATATTGTTACATTTGCTGCTGATCTGGCGCTTGCTGCTCTCTCAGAGGAAGAGTTAGAGGTGCGTCTGATGAATCTGGAGTGTGCCACTAAGAGGTGGGGTCTTACCATCAGCCCCACAAAAACTGAGCACCTGAGTGGGTTTTTTGTCCCATTAAACACTCCATTCCTCAGCTCCCCATTGGTGATAGAGCAGTTGTGGAGAGAGTGGAGAGTTTCCCATACCTGGGCAGTGTGCTTATGGCCAGCTCCAGTTTGACAGCAAAGGTGTCATTCCGAATCAGTCAGGTGGCATTAACTCTTTCATCAGCTGCGTAATGCTGTGTGGAAGCTACCTGGTCTGCCGCTCCATGCAAAGCTGCAGGTCTTCTTGGCCACAGTCATACCCTCCCTTCTCTATGCTTGTGAAACGTGGACACCAATAATGGAACATCTGTGCCTGTTATAAACATTCAGGTTGGCCTGCCTATGTTCCCTCCTGGGTTTAACCAGGCTGGATTGTGTGAGGAGCTCACAAATCCTTCAAAGATCTGGACACATTCCCATCAGTGAGCTCCTCCAGCAAGCAAGGATGTGTTGGATGGGTCATGTAGCCACAGCATGGCCAAGCAGCTTCTGTTTGGCCTCATATAGGTGGTTAAACGGCCACGACATGGGCTGGAGAAGAGATGGACGGATGTGGTACAAGAGGATGTGGAGCTGATTGGACTTACTGAAGACTGTTACCAGCGGTATCAAGATCGACCTCCATGGAGGAGGCTCAAGAAGGACGCTACTACTGGGAAGTTGGAGGTCACGTTCCAACAACAACTGATGGCACAGAAGAGGCGCTTACAACAATGAGCGGAGCGTCCAGTGGCTAAAATCCAGTAAGTTTGCACAGTACGGTCTACAGCTATGCATCTGCCAGTCATTTCAGTCAGCCACCCCATGCTACATGGGTCTGTCCTGTGACCTCCTGTAAGTTAACCTTCAAAACTTCACGTCCTCTCAAAATGCACACAGCCTGGCACAGGTGCCATGGTGATGTCACCGTCACTTATTGGTGAATGGCAGGTATTGGTAAAGTGGTGTAGCGTATAGCATAGTGTATAGTAGTGCAATATAGTGTAGTGTATAATAGTGTACAGTGGTATAGTGTATAGCGTAGTGTATAATAGTGCAGTGTATTGTTAAGTGTATAGCGTAGTGTATAATAGTGCAGTGTATTGTTAAGTATATAGCGTAGTGTATAATAGTGCAGTGTATTGTTAAGTATATAGCGTAGTGTATAATAGTGCAGTGTATTGTTAAGTATATAGTGTAGTGTATAATAGTGCAGTGTATTGTATAGTATATAGTGTAGTGTATAATAGTGCAGTGTATTGTTAAGTATATAGTGTAGTGTATAATAGTGCAGTGTATTGTTAAGTGTATAGCGTAGTGTATAATAGTGCAGTGTATTGTTAAGTATATAGCGTAGTGTATAATAGTGCAGAGTGTTGTTAAGTATATAGCGTAGTGTATACTAGTGCAGTGTATTGTTAAGTATATAGCGTAGTGTATAATAGTGCAGTGTATTGTTAAGTATATAGCGTAGTGTATAATAGTGCAGTGTATTGTTAAGTATATAGCGTAGTGTATAATAGTGCAGTGTATTGTTAAGTATATAGCGTAGTGTATAATAGTGCAGTGTATTGTTAAGTATATAGCGTAGTGTATAATAGTGCAGTGTATAGTGTAACGGGTGGACGAATGCTGTCGCCCCGGGATGAGCCAGTGTGGTGGCCGAGGTTACATGAGATCAGGGGGGGTGAGTGGTTGGGGGGGGGGGGTAAAAAATCACCAACCCCCTATCTCCGGAAGCCAAGGCAGCACCACGTAGCCTGGCCTTGACCGTGGGCAGGGTACGAGTTCGACAGTCAGGGCAAGCCGGTTGGTGTGGGGTAAGAGGGGTCATAGACGGGGCTGTGCGTGATTGGTGGAGAGTGAGAGGGTGAGTAGACGGGGCTGTGCGTGATTGGTGGCGAGTGAGAGGGTGAGTAGACGGGGCTGTTAGTGATTGGTGGAGAGTGAGAGGGTGAGTAGACGGGGCTGTGCATGATTGGTGGAGAGTGAGAGGGTGAGTAGACGGGGATGTGCGTGATTGGTGGAGAGTGAGGTCAACAAAAAGTCAGTGCCTCCTGTGACGATGTTCCGGGAGTCCCATTGGGGGGCGCTGTACGAGCCAAGCAGGACCAAATTTGCATATTTAAGTGAGCAATACCCGTGTATAGTAGTGTAGTGTATAGTAGTGTCGTGTATGTGGTGTAACGTGTAGCGTATAATAGTCTAGTGTATAGGTAGTGTAGTATATAGTAGTGGATGGTAGTGTAGTGTATGGTAGTGTAGTGTATGGTAGTGTAGTGTATAAGTGGTGTATCGTGTAGTGTATAGTAGTGCATAGTAGTGTAGTGTATATTGTATAATATTGTAGTGTATAGTAGTTTATAGTAGTGTAGTGTATAGGTAGTGTATAGTTGTGTGTTTGTAGTGTATTGTTAAGTAGTGTAGTGTAAAACCCACCTTAACCATCATCTCTGTTAATGACTAATCGCTTAACGACGGGTCTCCATAGAGCCCAATGTGTTCGTTTATCGACCATTCCCCCCTGTTGAAGACGGGTTATTGTAGGTATTTGTTTATAATGATGTTAGTATCTTCATGAATTAATATTCATTGTTTAATTACTATAAAGCAGCGGCCCCCAACCTTTTTGGCACCAGAGACCGGTTTTATGGAAGACAATTTTTTCACGGACCGGGGGGAGGGGGGGGGGTCATCATTGGGTCTTTCCCCCTTTTCAAAGAAGCTCTCCAGCGACGTTTTGTCTAACTCATTGTGGCTACTGGGGGTCAGCTTGTGGGCTTACCGAAACTGTGACTGAGACAAGTGCGCAGTGTGGGAACGGGGCGCGGACGGAGGTGGTAAATACTATAATGGGTGGGCCACGAGCGGACTCACCGCTCACCTCCTGCTGTGCGGCCCGGTTCCTAACAGGCCACGGACCAGTCGTGTATAAGTGGTGTCCGCGGCCCGGGGGGTTGGGGACCCCTGCTATAAAGTACGTTTTTGGGTGAAAAATGGTAACTTCCGATGCTATCGGAACGAGTTTAGCTTTTAACGTGAATTCCCTTTACTCGCTTAACGACAAAATAACTTAACGACCGGTTTCATGGTTCCAAATACCGTCGTTAAGAGGGGTTTTACATACGACGACCCTGCACTACTATACACTACACCATACAGTACACCATGAACTACACTATACACTACACTATACACTATGCTATAAACTACACTACTATACACTACACTAGACACTACTATACACTTCACTACTATATACTACATTCCTATACACTACACTACTATACAATATTATACACGACACCACTATGCACTACTATACACTACACTATACACACACTAAACTATTATACACTATATGACACTACACTACACTAAACCATTAACGTGCATTTTATATACTCGCTTAACGACCAAATCACTTAACGACTGGTATCATGGAACCAATTAACGTCGTTAAGAGGAGGGGTTCTACTACACGAGGGGCTGGGGTGGTCGTCGTTCACCCTGGCCGGGCGGCAGGGGGGGTGGTGGGCTCCTGAAGGGGAGCAGCTGCTGTGGCGTGGGCGAGTCGGTGGCTGGGACCGTTGTCGCGATGGGTCGTTGCTGGCGCTGCTGCTGCTGCTGCTGCCGTTGTAACGGGCGAGCCGGGGCCCGTTGCCGCTGGTGCGTGGAGCAGCTGCGTGCGGTGCTGCCGTGCGGGCGTGGCAGTGACAGAGACGGCAGCTGGGTGGAGGTGCTCAGAGCGCTGTTGAGGGCAACCAACCAAGTCCCGAGACTGCGGCTGCATGGATCCATTAAAGGGCGCCGTTGTGAGTGCGAGCCAAGGTTGAGGTTGATGCTGCGTTGAATCCTGGGAGTGCTGCACTACCGTTGGGTCCTGGGGGGGGGGGGATCCCCGAGGCTGCACGCGACTTCGAGAGTGAATGTTGCGCACCAAGTTGGTGGGCTTCTGCCGCGTTGCCTCGTCACCCGGGAGCGGAGCGTGCGTCAGGGTTGTGGTGCAAACGGTCGCCGCGGAGTTCTGCGATCGTCGACGCGCTGTGGGGTCGCCGTGTTAAGCCGGTGGACTTACGGGGTCATGCAAATGTGCGCTGTCACTGTTGCCGAGACTTTTGAAGAGTTGGTTGCACTTGGTTGTCAAGAAAGTATTATCCGCCACAGTATGTTCGCGTCCTTGAGCATCGTGTTTCAATATTGCATGACGAGTCTAGGCGTGGTTAAATCCAAATGGTCTTAACTTTTTCTATATTCTGGATAGAGTTATTGTCCTTCTTTCTTTCGCTGTCAAATCAACGTTGTAAAACTGCGCTGCTGCCCGATAACGAAAATTGAGGGAATTGCACGACAAAGAAAATGGATCCGAACTCCTCTATCTCCCATATTAACAAAAAATGAGCAACCCTCATAATTTGCATGCCTGCGATAGTGATTCAAGGTATGCTCTGATGCCGGTCCCGCTGGGGCGCCTGCCCCCTGCTCACATGAGCAGGTAATGTTGCCGGGTTCAGCAAAGTGCCTAGCTCGGACTTTGAGCCACAGCCCCGTGACTGAGTTAAACATGAGCAACTCTCAACGGTGAGGTGAGTTGAGATAAGTTGAGGTGAGATGAGGTGAGTTGCGATGAGGTGATTTGAGGTGAGTTGAGGTGAGGTGACGTGAGTTGAGGTGAGGGGAGTTGAGTTACGATAAGGTGTGTGAGGATGAGGATTTGAGACGAGGCGATCCGAGTCTTATTAAGCCACCCCTGGATTGGAGACGTCTGTACTCGCTCACACGTCAACACATTCTGGGGCACGCCTTGTGACACGCAAATCAAACTGAAAGACTTCCTACTTGTCATCTATTAACGTGGCTTGTTCCTTGTTTAGCGTCTGAGACGCAGCCAGAGACTGCCTGAGATACAGAGACTGTCTGAGCTACAACCAGAAACTGCCAGCGATACAGATATAGACTGCCTGAGATACAGACAGAGACTGTCTGAGCTACAGCGAGAGACTGCCTGAGCTACAGCCAGCTACTGCCTGAGATACAGCCAGTGACTGTGCTACAGCCAGATACACTCTGTGCTACAGCCAGTGACTATCTGAGCTATATCCAGAGACTGTGCTACAGCAAGAAAACTGCCTGAGCAACATCCAGACACTACCTGAGCTTCAGCCAGCGCCCGTCTGAGTGGAGCCACAGGACCATGGCGAGTGCGGCTCCCACTGGTTGCGAGGCTCCAGGGGAGTTAACCTGCCCCATCTGTCTGGACGAGTTCTGCTGCCCCTGTACGCTCAGCTGCGGCCACTCGTTCTGCCTCAAGTGCGTGGAGGGCGCCTGGGATGCGGCAGAGTCCTTCTCCTGCCCACAGTGCCGAGTGACCTTCCCTCAGAGGCCCCAGCTGAACAAGAGCGTGACGCTCACCAACCTGGTGGAGCAGCGCAGTGCCACAGATGAATTGGCCACCGTGGTCTTGTGTGACTTCTGCAACGATGGCACGACCGCTGCCTCGAAGACCTGCCTCAGGTGTGATATGTCCTACTGTGTGACTCATGTAAAGCCTCATCAGGAGAACCCGAAGTTCAGGGGCCACATTCTGGTGGATCCAGACACGAATCCTGAAGACCGCAAATGCAAGAAACACAGAAAGGAGCTCGAGTTTTACTGCCGACAGGACAAGAGCTTGGTCTGCACAACCTGCACCATTGCAGGAGACCACAAGGGTCACGATGTGGCTACGTTGGAGGATGAGCACAAGACACGGGAGGTGAGACGGTCTGCCTGTGTGTGAGAGGGAGCCTGTCGTGCACGAAATCATCATTTCCAAGTATGAACTGAACAATGATATCCAACTAAATATCATTCCTCTCTCAGCTGCCGATTTTTCGTTCACATTTTAACAACGTTGTTTTAATATAAAGCATGCTGAGGTTGTCATAGTGCAAACATAATACAACCACAAGTTTTTTTCAATCCTGTTGTATGCCAAATTTATAAATGTGCCCTTAGTATATTTGATAAAACCGAAGAACTTTAATGCATACAACGTGTTCTTAAAATTACGTGAATGCATCGACTGTGGTTCGCATACAAAAAGTGGGTTGTGGTAGAGAGGAGCATCCCCTAAAATTGAAACGAAATGTAAAACGACTGGGACTGCGTGAGCCGCAGTGCTCACCGCTTGGTAGCCTCGTGCCGGTCTGTGCCAGTTTAGCGCCGTACTCTACAGCAGCTGCCGGGTCACTGGACTTGGAATTCCAGAAAAGTCGCGTGATTTTGACAGACCAAGTATTTCGTGATCGTTTTTATATTTTCATCAAGATGCTCGTTACCGAATTTCTCCGACACTCAACAGAGACATGGCAGCCCCTCCTTGTGCCATGCAAAACTAAACTTAACCAATTTTTATTTTACCAAGTGAAACTTACAGAGCTATGTAGCTGGCAACCTGGTCACAAATTACAGCTCAACAAAGTGGTTTATCAGGTCTAAATGTATGGCAGCCAAATAATCTAAACGCACCTTCCTAAACGTGGGCAGAAAAACCGGAGGACCCAGAGAAAAATCCATGCGACCATGGAGAGAGACATGCAAACTGCATAAACAGGCATCAGGTGCAGTTTCGAACCCACGACCTCCTGAATAGCAGGCAAGGCAGAAAACATCTCACCACTCTGGTGCCCTGTCCACCCACTACTCAGCCCCGCCCACTACTCAGGTAGCCCCACCCACTACTCCAGCAGCCCCACCCACTACTCAGGTAGCCCCACCCACCACTTTGGCAGCCCTGCGCACGTTTGAGCTCCTCGTGAAATCAGTTCCCTGCAGCCTTTGCTCCCTCAGCCTCCATCGCTGCACCGGGGCTACTTCCCCTGTCACTGTGAAGTGGTTCACGTGGAGCGGGGTTGGGAGGGGATGCTCAGAGAGTGAGTGGAGTCTCCCCTGGTGACTTCTCTCACAGAAACAAGTGGGAGAGGAGACGCGGGCGGTGGAGGAGAAGAGGAGGGAGGCGGAGGAGTCCATAAGGCGGATGGAGGCCGCTCGCAGGGACGTGCAGGTACCGCGTCTGGGCCGGAATCGGTGACCCCATGACTCCACTCTGAGTAGGGTTTGTGATGGAGGATAACTCCATTCATTCACGTGGACTTGGCTCCAAAACACATCGTGGGACTAAAGACACAGCGGTTAATTCGCCTCAATAATCAGGACGTGCAAAAATGTGGTTCTCATCTCCACTGAGAAACTGAATCAGTGGTGGAAATTCCACATTCCCATATCTCCATACAACTTACCACTTAAACGCCTGTTATCTATATTGATCAGATGAGGTGCTAAGTACCTATTATCCAATACTCTGGTGGCAGAGTAAGTGGATCACGCATATACTGTTGTACACCATCTTACTGAAACCAATCAGGCTTTAGGGTGGCCAGGTGGCAGTATAGCAAGTAGTTTCATGATCCCTTCTCTTCATCCATACATGTGGTTTTCTCTCACATTCAAAACATTGATTTCAAGAGGAATTGGCCTAACTTCCATTTCATGAATGCCCTTTACAGATTTCACTTCGCTTCATGTAAAGGTAAACAAAGCATCGTCCTGATATGCTCAATGAGAATGGCACAGATGCTAAATGTACTCATGATGGTATTTTATTTCATTACCTCACAGCCCCCACCCACTATGGCGAATTGTGTGGTAGTGAAAATGCACAGTGGCGTTATCAGAGGCAAAGGAAGAAGGAGGCCTCACTACCTCAGACTCGTATCACTGTCTGGACACCTTCAGAGTTGCACTCGGGTCACACCGACCTGAATGTCATTTCACAATGGACCAGACATTTAAAGAACAAAGGTGGCATTTCTCTCTCTTTGCAGGGATCCATGACAGATGAAAAGGCCTCAATCTCGGTCAGATTCGCCAGTGCGAGGGCAGCGTTGGATGCAGAGGAGAAGACGGCTTTAGAGCAAGCGGAGCAGAAAGGACGCAAGATCCTGTCCCAGATCGAGAAGAAGATCGCTCACGACCAGCACGAGATCAGCGAGCTCCAGGCAGCAGCCACTCGCCTGCAGGCCCTAGCGCAGGAGAGGGACTCGCTCGCGTTCCTGCAGGTGAGCGATGAGTCTCCACTGTCGCTATTGGCACCGAGCCCTCTCACCAGCAGCAGCAGAGGGAGGCTCCTGAATGAGAGCTCGCATCCACTGGGCTTGAGAACACAGCTCCACTCATGGACTTGCATCGTAGCTCCAGTGGCTGCCATTTGGAAGCCCAGCTCATATTTTCTCAGTTAAATTAATTCTCTCTCCCGTCCTTTAACACATTCCCATTAAGTTTGTTTCATTGTGAATATAAATAAATGTTATTGGAATTGCACCTTTTAAATCAACCATACAACAACAATGTACACTGTATTCATGATTGCCATCAGCGATAATCTATCATTGATGAAGGCCTCCCCAACCCATTGCCACATCTCGTGATGCCGCGATGCAACAATCCACCAGCGCCTGCTCACAAGCTGATTTCATCTCTGCTTCTTACTTTGTGTACCTCCACTTGGATGCGCGACCTCCATTGTTCATATTAGGAATGCTCAAATAAATACGGTCTCATACACTTATTAATGATATCATTGTGTCTTGAACATCACTTCTACAAGATCTGCACCATGTGCATTGGTAACTCCAGAAACTACTAGTCCTACGTTCCTCTCAACACAGATCAACATCAACCGGTCTCACTCTGAAATATTTGCCCTGCAAATTCATGTTGGTCCTCATAGGGGTGGCGAGATGTTAACTACCTCGCCTGGTATACCGAAAGTCCGGGATTTAATCCCAACCCTGACATCCATATACATTTGGAGTTTACATTTTTCCCTCCATGGTGGTATGGATTTTTCTCCGGGTCCTCCAGTTTTTCCCTCCACATTTGGAAACCTGCGTTTAGAGTATTGGGCTGCTATAAATTTCCACGAGATGAACCACTTCGTTGAGCTATCATTTGTGGCCAGGTCCCTTCTGAAAAAGAGCTACCTAGCTGCGTGGGCCTTACCTGAAAAATAAAATAGTAGTTTATCGTTTACTATCAATCGGTCTTACTCTGAAATATTTGCCCCGTAAGTCAGTGTTGGTGATCATAGGGTCATAAGCCAAGACTTTGGGGTTTATATTCCACCCACGGTGTTGCAGTGGGAACTCCACTGATCATAAGGGATTGGAGGTAGAGTCACAGTACTGTATCTCTCTCTCTTCCATAGGGGCACCTGGAGGAGATGTGCAGGTAAAAGACGACTTTCATTCATTACCCGACACACGACAACATGGGACTGAGTGTGGGGTGTGGGCAGTGAGATACTGGCTGTGTGTGGGGATGCTGTGTGTGATGATGGTTTGTGTGGTTATAGTGTGTGTGGTGATGCTGTGTGTGATGATGGTGTGTGTTGATGATGTGTGTGATGATGCTGTGTGCGTTTATGCTGTGTGGTGATGCTGTGTTTTGATACCGCATGTGGTGATGCTGTGTGTGGTAATAGTAATTCTGTGTAGTGATGCTGTAATTGTGAGATGAGTGATGATGCTTTGGGTGATGTGTGTCTACGTGATGGAGCTGTGATGATCCTGTGAGTGACGATGCTCTGCGTGAGACAGTCGCCATGTCTGTTCTGCTTTCACAGGACAGGGAGGTTTACAGCAGATCCACCCTCATGTCCTAGCCAAGAGGACATTGCCTCGCTTAAAGGCACCGAGGAAACTGTGGCCAAATTCCTGTGTGAGTTCTTCAGTGTGAAACATGGGTGATGGGGTCATCTTAACAATAAATGATCACCGTGTGTGTGTGCACGAGGTCGACTCAGCTTCAAATGCTTACCTAGTTTTGTGTGTAAACATCACCACGAGGGAGACAAAGGTGGCCAGGCGTAGTGCGGACCACCAAGCCCCTCATGTGCTGTTACAGCTTTCAAAGGTGCTGATTTACCTCGGCAGTCTGTTAAGGCAACACGGGGAATATTTTTATTTGTTTACATTCTGGAGCCTGATCCTGTATTTAAACAAAATCGCCACTAGGTAAAAAAAGGTGGTCGGGTGTGGTGCTGGCCACCCACCTCTTCATGTGCCCTGCTGGTCATCATAGATGATCGCTAACAGCACTTGCCCCAATGGTCTGTTTAGGCTTCACAGGGGATCTTAGTCTTTGTTCACATCCCAATCCAGGACCTGACTGAACAGAGCCATGAGGCTAAGTATGACGATCTTGTGCAAATAATCAGCTTTACGAGTCAGGGGTAATTGTGATGTTGAGATGCAATTTGTTCCTGTGAATGTGTCTGTGCATTTGTGCATGGGGGGAGTGGTGGCATAGTGGTTAGCACACTGCACTGCGAACCTAGTTACCTGGCTTTGATTACCCGCCATGGCTAACATCAGTGGCAGGTGATATCTTATCCAGTCCTTGGCCTCTACGAGGCAGTTTCAACCTCAAATGAGTTCCTGATGCTGGTAATGGTCATAATGATGGTGATAGTGGTCGTGATGAGCATGGTGGTAATGATAGTGCATTGGCCAGTCATCTCAGTCGACCCATAGCACCTTGGTCTGCCCCATGACCTCCTGCCAGCGGGCGTTCGACACTTAACGTGGCCTCAACGTGCACATAGCCTGGCACAAGCGCCGTGGTGACGTCACCACCACTCAATGGCGAATGGCACTGTATTGATGGCGATAGTGATGTTGTTGATTTTCACAGTGTTTATGATGGTGATGTATATGTAGTTGTAATTGATGATATTCATGGTGAGGATGGTTGTTGATGGTGATGTTTGTGATGTTATTGTTGATGGTGAAGATGATGGTTGGTAGTGGTAATGTTGATAGTGGTGATAGTGGATAATGGGGGTGATGGTGTTCTGTAGTGATGTTGTTATCGCTGTTGTCACAGACGGACGCTCACCAACTCTGGACACAAACTCAGCTCATAACCAACTCCAGATCTCCTCGGATCTCAGGACGATGACGTGGACCAGTGACTCCCAGGGTCGCCCCGATCACCCACACCGGTTTGAGTGCTTTCCACAAGCCCTGTGCTGTGAGAGCTTCTCGTCGGGCCACCACTACTGGGAGGTGGACGTGGGGGACGCGCGGTGGTGTCGGGTTGGAGTCGCGTACGGGACGATCCCACGGAAAGGGCGTGGTGATGCACAGCTGCTGGGAGGGAGCGACGCGTCCTGGTGTTTAGAGAAATGTGACGACAACTTCTCAGTGTTTCATGGTGGAGTGAAGACTGCACTGTCGGTGAGGGGGGCCCCCTCCCCCCGCAGAATCGGGCTTCACCTGCACTGGGAGGGGGGGCTCCTGGCGTTTTACCGCGCCGACTCCATGGAGGTGATCCACGAGGTCCGGCAGAGATTCTCGCAGCCTCTCTACCCTGGGATGTGGGTGGGGTATTTTAATGAACCATTGAAGATCGTGGATCTGAGTCGTGCATCCTGAGGATGAGGAGAGATAGAAACCCAAGAAACCGAGACAGAAACCAAATAAACGGAGGAGAGGGTGGATGGTGAGGAGAGGGTGAAGTGAGGGTGATGGGAAGGTGGAACAGAGTGTGAGGTAATGTGATGGTGAGGGAAGAATGGAGGAGAAGGTGACAGGTGAGCATGGAGGGGTAGGATGAGGGGGGAGGGTGAGGTTCAGGTTGGCGTGCGTGAGCGATGTCGCCGGTGCAGTACAAATCGCAGGTTCGTGTGGCCGCTCCTTCGCCTGCAGTGCGCGATTGCGTCACCACGCCTCCTCATCCCTGTGATTCACCATCATCACCAACATCACCATCATCACCAACATCATTACCCCATCATCATCACTGTCATCATCACCCCATCATCATCACTACCATCAATACCATCAACACCATCACTACCATCTTCACCCCATCATCATCACCACTGTTATCATCACCACCAGCAACACCACCACCATCATTGTCACCATAGTGATCACTTCCACCATCATCGCCATCATCCTCATTGCCAACAGCATCAACAACACAATATCACCATCATGATCACCATCACCACCAACATCACTATCAACCACCATCACTAACATCATTACTATAAAGACCACCAAAACCATCATGACCATCACCAACATCATCATCACTGTCATCATCACCCCATAATCATCATCATCATCACTACCATCAACACCATCAACACCATCACCACCATCTGCACCCCATCATCATCACCACTGTCATCATCACCGCCAGCAACACCACCACCATCATAGTCACCATAGTCATCACTTCCACCATCATCGCCATCATCGTTTTCACAAAACGGCTGAACTCAGCCCTCCCACCCACCCACTTTCCTTTCTGGTTCCCCCCCCCTAACCCAGATATAAACCCGATCGCCTCAGAGCTGTGTACTTGACACAGATATTCTTCTGTGACTATTCCACCTGAAGACGGAAGCTTGTGTTGCCTCCGAAACGTCGTGATTTAATTGTTTTCTTTAATTTTGTTTTATTTAATCTACGTGACTTTACCGAATAAAACCAAAGAGTATGAATCCTTGCAGTCACGAAAGCTTCAAATCTAACAATACAGTACTATACACTACACTATACACTACACTATACACTACACTACTATACACTACACTACTATACACTACACTACTATACACGACACTACTACACTACACTATACACTACACTATACACTACACAATACACTACTACACATTACACTACACTACTATAGACTACAATATACACTTCACTTTACACTACACTATACACTGCACTATACACTACACAATACACTACTGTACACTACTATAGCACTACACTATACACTACAATACACTACACTATACACTACACTATACACTACACTATACACTACAACACTACACTATACACCACTACAGTAGACATTACACTATACACTACACTATACACTACACCGTACACAACACTATACATTACTACACTATACACTACACTATACACTACACTATACACTACTATACACTATACACTACTATACACTACACTATACACTACTACACTAGACATTACATTATACACTACACTATACACTACACCGTACACTACACTGTACATTACTACACTATACACTACACTATATGACTACACTATACACCGCTATATACTACACTATACACTAGTATACACTACACCACTATACACTACACTATACACTACTACACTATACACTACACTATACAATACATATCTACACTACACTATACACTACACTATACAATACTATACACTACACTATACACTACTATACACTACACTATACACTACTATACACAACTGCACTATACACTACTGCACTATACACTACTACACTATACACTACACTATACACTACACCACTAAACACTACACTATACACTATACACTACTCCACTATACACTACACTATACACTACTGTACACTACACTATACACTACTATACACTACAATACTATACACTACACTACTATACACTAAACACTACTATACACTACTATACACTACACTATACACTACTATATACTACACTATTCACTACACTACTATACACTTCACTATACACTGCTATACACTACTATACACTACACTATACACTACTATATACTACACTATACACTACTATACACTAAACTATACACTACGCTATACATTACACTATACACTACTATACACTACACTATACACTACTATACACTACACTATATACTACTATATACTACACTATACACTACAATATACACTACACTATACACTACTATAAACTACACTATGCACTACGCTACAATACACTACACTATACACTACTATACACTACAGTATATACTACTATATACTACACTATACATTACAATATACACTACACTATACACTACTATAAACTACACTATACACTCCACTACTATACACCACACTATACTCTACACTAAACACTACTATACACTACACTATACACTACTGTACACTACACTATACACTACACTACTATACACTACACTGTACACTACTATACACTACACTATACACTACTACACTATACACTACACTATACACTACACTATACCTTACACTACTATACACTACACTATACACTACACTATACACTACTACACTACTATACACTACACTATGCACTACACTATACTACTATACACTACACTACTATACACTACACTATACACTACACTAAACACTACTACACTATACACTACACTATACACTACTCTATACACTACTATACACTACACTATACACTACACTATACTACTATACACTACACTACTATACATTACACTATACACTACACAATACACTACATTACTATACACTATACTATACACTACACTATACACTACACTATACAGTACTATACACTACACTATACACTACTATACACTACACTACTATACACTACACTACTTTACAATAACTACTATACACTACACTATACACTACACTACTACACTATACACTACTACACTACACTATACACTACACTATACACTACACTACTACACTATACACTACTACACTACACTATACACTACACTATACACTACACTATACACTATTATACACTACAATGTACACTACACTATACACTACATTATACACTACACTATACACTACACTATACAGTACTATACACTTTACACTACACTATACACTACACTATACACTACACTAAACACTACTACACTATACACTACACTATACACTACACTATACACTACTATACACTATACACTACACTATACACTACACTATACACTACACTATACACTACTATACACTACACTATACACTACACTATACACTCCTATACACTATACACTACACTATACACTACAGTATACACTACACTACTATACACTACACTATACACTACACTATACACTACACCACACTATACTCTACACTATACACTACACTATACACTACTATACACTACACTACTATACACTACACTATACACTATTATACACTATACACTACACTATACACTACACTATACACTACACTAAACACTACTACACTATACACTACACTATACACTACACTATACACTACTATACACTATACACTACACTATACACTACACTATACACTACACTATACACTACTATACACTACACTATACACTACACTATACACTCCTATACACTATACACTACACTATACACTACAGTATACACTACACTACTATACACTACACTATACACTACACTATACACTACACCACACTATACTCTACACTATACACTACACTATACACTACTATACACTACACTACTATACACTACACTATACACTATTATACACTATACACTACAATATACACTACACTATACACTACTACACACTACACTATACACTACACTATACACTACACTATACACTACTACACACTACACTATACACTACATTATACACTACTATACACTACACTATACACTACACTATACACTACACTACAGTGACGCAGTAACTCGCTGACCCCGTGACCCCGACTGGACTCCTCCTGCAGTCTAAATCAAAATTCTGATTCTAATTTCTGGATGGATCCACGAAAATCGAACCACGACATGGATCGTGCCAGCATCGTATTCAACTTAACGTTAAATCGAATCGCAATTTCCTAATCGATCTAAAAATCGACATCGTCCACCCTCTCCCAACTCATCGACGTCTCTAGAGGAATCGGAATCGATGCTTTCAGGGCCCCCACGCGCACTAATCGATTCGGTTTGAGTTCCCCGCTCCCCATTGTTGACGAAGCCGCTTCGCTTTCTGCGAATCTTCGTCGCCGTGAGTCACCCCTCCCCCCCCCTCCCAGCCGTCTTTGTCTTCCTCACCCCCCCCCCCCGAGAGAGAGCGACAGACAAAGAAGCCCCCCCCCCCTTGTCCTCGCCAAAAGGCCGAGAGGCGTTTAAACCACCCCCTGAGGCGAGGCCTCGAGAGAGACACCGCGCCTCGGATAGAATCCGTACCGGCCGAGGCGCGAGGTGCTCGGTAGGCCGACCTAGGCCGATGCCAGTCACGGGCCGTCGGCGGCGGTGGGTTTGGGAATTTTTTTTTTAACTTTAATAACGTTTTATTTAATATCTACTCCTATTTATATTTGTGTCTTTACGTCGCGACGTTGAGTCGGTGGTGGTGGTGGTGTGGGGTGGGGGGTTAAGCGGCTGGCGACTTAACGCCGTGTGCGAGTGATGTACACGCGTGCACTGACGCTCTCTCTACAAACACAGCTCGCTGCTGTGTTTGTAGACGATCTGTGAAGTGATTTGTTGACCTCTCCTGTACGCTGACCCCTCCCCTCGTGTCTTGTACGCGCGTTGTGTGTTTGTTGTTGTAACGTTCTGACCTCCCCCCCCCCCGTGGCCCCTCCCCCAGAACGGACATCTGTGACGAAAGAGCTTCAGAGCTTTTCGGATTCCTCGTGGAGTCTAAATACAGATTCTGGTACTCAGAGACCCACAGAGACCCACAGAGACCCATAGAGACTCACAGAGACCCATACAGACTCACAGAGACCCACAGAGACTCACAGAGACCCATACAGACTCACAGAGACCCACAGAGACCCATAGAGACCCATACAGACTCACAGAGACCCACAGAGACCCATACAGATCCACAGAGACTCACAGAGACCCACAGAGACCCATACAGACCCATACAGACCCATACAGACCCACAGATACCCATACAGACCCACAGAGATCCACAGAGACCCATACAGACCCACAGAGACCCACAGAGACCCATACAGACTCACAGAGACCCACAGAGACCCAAAGAGACTCAAAGAGACCCACAGAGACCCACAGAGACCCATACAGACCCACAGAGACCCACAGAGACCCACAGAGACCCATACAGACCCACAGAGACCCACAGAGACCCATACAGACCTACAGAGACCCACAGAGACCCATACTCGGATACCTTAACACAAAGCCCCATACAGAGACCCACACAGACCCACAGAGACCCACAGAAACCCACAGAGACCCATACAGACTCACAGAGACCCACAGAGATCCATAGAGACCCATACAGACCCACAGAGACCCATACAGACCCATACAGAGACCCAGAGAGACCCACAGAGACCCATACAGACCCACAGAGACTCACAGAGACCCATAGAGACCCACAGAGACCCATACAGACCCACAGAGACCCACAGAGACCCACAGAGACCCATACAGACCCACAGAGACTCACAGAGACCCATAGAGACCCACAGAGACCCATACAGACCCATACAGACCCACAGAGACCCATACAGACCCACAGAGACCCATACAGACCCACAGAGACCCACAGAGACCCATACAGACTCGCAGAGACCCATACAGACTCACAGAGACCCATACAGACTCACAGAGACCTAGAGAACCATAGAGACCCACAGAGTCCCATAGTAACCCACAGAGACCCATACGGACCCATACAGACCCACAGAGACCCACAGAGACCCATACAGACCCACAGAGACCTATACAGACCCACAGAGACCCACAGAGACCCACAGAGACCCATAGACCCACAGAGACCCACAGATACCCATACAGACTCACAGAGACCCACAGATACCCATACAGACCCACAGAGACCCACAGATACCCATACAGACTCACAGAGACCTAGAGAACCATAGAGACCTACAGAGTCCCATAGTAACCCACAGAGACCCACAGAGACCCACACTGTGACTGTGATTGGTGGTTAATGGTTGTAGTTTGTAAGTGTTAAGTGTGGGGAGCGGTTTGCGCGTGCGCTGCGTCGCGGCTCACGGCCAAAATCAGTGGCGAGCGAAATCAGAACCGGGTCCTGTGCCTCCCCTAGGTCGACTCGGACTCAAATCAGAACCTGGTGCGGTGTGTAGTAAACATCAGCGCTGGGGAGACAAAGGCGGCCGGGCGTGGTGCTGGCCACCCGCCCCCCTCGTGTACCACAGTGGCAGCCTTCACAGGCGCTGCTGCTCCTCGCAACTAACAGCTCTTGCCCCTCCAGCCTGGGTGGGCTACACGGGGAGCTTTGTCACATTGTAGAGACGGACAAAGCTCCCCCGTGTAGCCTCCAATAGACTCTAGAGGCAAGTGCTGTTCGCGATTCGTAGCACCTGTCAAGGGCGGCACTGTGGCACACGAGAGAGTGGGTGGCCAGCACCACGCCCGGCCGCCTTTGTCTCCCCGGTAGCGATGTTCACTACACACCACCGCACCAGGTACTCATTTGAGGCCGAGTCGACCTAGGTGAGGCTCAGGACCGGTTCAGATAATCGTCACCGGTATTGACCTTCAGTTAGAAATGAACTCGGGTCGCCAGTGCGCTAACCACTACACTACCGCTCCCCTCTCCGTGTACACACAGACACGTGTACGCACACACAGACACGTGTACACACACACAGACACGTGTACACACACACAGACACGTGTACACACACACAGACACGTTTACACACACAGACACGTGTACACACAGACACGTGTACACACACACAGACACGTGTACACACACACAGACACGTGTACACACACACAGACACGTGTACACACACATAGACACGTGTACACACACACAGACACGTGTACACACACAGACACGTCTACACACAGACACGTGTACACACAGACACGTGTACACACACACAGACACGTGTACACACGCACAGACACGTGTACACACGCACATACACGTGTACACACACAGACACGTGTACACACACACAGACACGTGTACACACACACAGACACGTTTACACACACAGACACGTCTACACACAGACACGTGTACACACAGACACGTGTACACACACACAGACACGTGTACACACGCACAGACACGTGTACACAGACACGTGTACACACACAGACACGTGTACACACACACAGACACGTGTACACACGCACAGACACGTGTACACACACAGACACGTGTACACACACACAGACACGTCTACACACGCACAGACACGTCTACACACGCACAGACACGTGTACACACACAGACACGTGTACACACACAGACACGTGTACACAGACACGTCTACACAGACACGTGTACACACACAGACACGTGTACACACACAGACACGTCTACACACAGACACGTGTACACACACAGACACGTGTACACACACAGACACGTCTACACACAGACACGTGTACACACACAGACACGTGTACACACGCACAGACACGTGTACACACACAGACACGTCTACACACGCACAGACACGTGTACACACGCACATACACGTGTACACACACAGACACGTGTACACACACATCAGACACGTGTACACACACATAGACACGTGTACACACACACAGACACGTGTACACACACACAGACACGTCTACACACAGACACGTGTACACACACAGACACGTGTACACACACACAGACACGTCTACACACACACAGACACGTGTAAACACACACAGAAACGTGTATACACGCACAGACACGTGTACACACAGACACGTGTACACACACAAACACGTCTACACAGACACGTGTACACACGCACAGACACGTCTACACACACACAGACACGTCTACACACAGACACGTGTACACACACACAGACACGTGTACACACAGACAGACACGTGTACACACACACAGACACGTGTACACACGCACAGAAACGTGTACACACGCACAGACACGTGTACACACAGACACGTGTACACACACAGACACGTGTACACACACATAGACACGTGTACATACGCAGACACGTGTACACAGACACGTCTACACACAGACACGTCTACACACAGACACGTGTACACACACATAGACACGTGTACATACACAGACACGTGTACACAGACACGTCTACACACAGACACGTGTACATACACAGACACGTCTACACACAGACACGTGTACATCACCACCACCATTGACACTCCCTCTGGCCCTGCTCCCGTGCCTCCGCTGTGCTCCACAGCACCAGCAACGCGTGCAGGGAAGCCGTCTCCAGCCCTGACCTACGATGGTCCGAGGCCCCAACATCCCCGTGGAACGACATCAACAACATCAACAACATCAACAACAACATCAACAACAACATCAACAACAAATACAGCAACAACATCAACGACAACTACAGCAGCAGCGGCGGCAGAACCGACTTCATGTGTGAGTGTATAGGTCTCTTTGTGAGTCTATGGGTCTCTGTGTGAGTGAGTCTATGGGTCTCTTTGTGAGTCTATGGGTCTCTGTGTGATGAGTCTATAGGTCTCTTTGTGAGTCTATGGGTCTCTGTGTGAGTGAGTCTATGGGTCTCTGTGTGTGGTGAGTCTATGGGTCTCTGTGTGAATGAGGCTATGGGTCTCTGTGTAGTGGTGAGTCTATGGGTCTCTGTGTGGTGAGTCTATGGGTCTCTGTGTGAGTGAGTCTAAGGGTCTCTGTGTGGTGAGTCTATGGGTCTCTGTGTGAATGAGGCTATGGGTCTCTGTGTGAGTGAGTCTATGGGTCTCTCTCTCTCTGTGTGATGAGTCTATGGGTCTCTGTGTGAGTGAGTTTATGGGTTTCTGTGGGATTAGTCTATGGGTCTCTGTATGAGTGAGTCTATGGGTCTTTGTGTGAGTGAGTCTATGGGTCTCTGTGTGGTGAGTCTATAGGTCTCTTTGTGAGTCTATGGGTCTCTGTGTGGTGAGTCTATGGGTCTCTGTGTGGTGAGTGTATGGGTCTCTGTGTAGTGGTGAGTCTATAGGTCTCTATGTGGTGAGTGTATGGGTCTCTGTGTGAGTGAGTCTATGGGTCTCTCTCTCTCTGTGTGGTGAGTCTATGGGTCTCTGCGTGAGTGAGTTTATGCGTTTCTGTGTGATTAGTCTATGGGTCTCTGTATGAGTGAGTCTATGGGTCTTTGTGTGAGTGAGTCTATGGGTCTCTGTGTGGTGAGTCTATGGGTCTCTGTGTGGTGAGTCTATGGGTCTCTGTGTAAGTGAGTTTATGAGTTTCTGTGTGATTAGTCTATGGGTCTCTGTATGAGTGAGTCTACGGGTGTCTGTGTGAGTGAGTCTTTAGGTCTCTGTGTGATGAGTCTATGGGTCTCTGTGTGAGTGAGTCTATGGGTCTCTGTATGAGTGAGTCTACGGGTCTTTGTGTGAGTGAGTCTATAGTTCTCTGTGTGGTAAGTCTTTAGGTCTCTTTGTGATGAGTCTATGGGTCTCTGTATGAGTGAGTCTACGGGTCTCTGTGTGATGAGTCTACGGGTCTCTGTTTGATGAGTCTATGGGTCTCTGTGTGGTGAGTCTATGGGTCTCTGTGTGAGTGAGTTTATAGGTCTCTGTGTGGTGAGTCTATGGGTCTCTGTGTGGTGAGTCTATGGGTCTCTGTGTGAGTGAGTCTATGGGTCTCTGTATGAGTGAGCCTACGGGTCTCTGTGTGATGAGTCTATGGGCCTCTGTGTGAGTGAGTCTTTAGGTCTCTGTGTGATGAGTCTATGGGTCTCTGTATGAGTGAGTCTACGGGTCTTTGTGTGAGTGAGTCTATAGTTCTCTGTGTGGTAAGTCTTGAGGTCTCTGTGTGAGTGAGTCTACGGGTCTCTGTGTGAGTGAGTCTACGGGTCTCTGTTTGATGAGTATGGGTCTCTGTGTGAGTGAGTCTATGGGTCTCTGTATGAGTGAGTCTACGGGTGTCTGTGTGAGTGAGTCTGTAGGTCTCTGTTTGATGAGTCTATGGGTCTCTGTATGAGTGAGTCTACGGGTCTCTGTGTGATGAGTCTATGGGTCTCTGTGCGAGTGAGTCTATGGGTCTTTGTGTGAGTGAGTCTATGGGTCTCTGTGTGATGAGTCTATGCGTCTCTGTATGAGTGAGTCTACAGGTCTCTGTGTGATGAGTCTATGCGTCTCTGTGTGAGTGAGTCTACGGGTCTCTGTGTGATGAGTCTATGGGTCTCTGTGTGAGTGAGTCTATGGGTCTTTGTGTGAGCGAGTCTATGGGTCTCTGTGTGATGAGTCTATGGGTCTCTGTGTGAGTGAGTACTATGGGTCTCTGTGTGAGTGAGTCTACGGGTCTCTGTGTGAGTGAGTCTATGGGTCTCTGTGTAAGTGAGTCTATAGGTCTCTGTGTGATGAGTCTATGGGTCTCTGTATGAGTGAGTCTACGGGTGTCTGTGTGGTAAGTCTTTAGGTCTCTGTGTGAGTGAGTCTATAGGTCTCTGTGTGATGAGTCTATGGGTCTCTGTGTGAGTGAGTCTTTAGGCCTCTGTGTGAGTGAGTCTATGGGTCTCTGTGTGAGTGAGTCTACGGGTCTCTGTGTGGTGAGTCTATGGGTCTCTGTGTGGTGAGTCTATGGGTTTCTGTGTGATGAGTCTATGGGTTTCTGTGTGATTAGTCTATGGGTCTCTGTGTGAGTGAGTCTACGGGTCTCTGTGTGAGTGAGTCTACGGGTCTCTGTGTGATGAGTCTACGGGTCTCTGTGTGATGAGTCTACGGGTCTCTGTGTGATGAGTCTATGGGTCTCTGTGTGAGTGAGTCTACGGGTCTCTGTGTGATGAGTCTACGGATCTCTGTGTGATGAGTCTACGGGTCTCTGTGTGATGAGTCTATGGGTCTCTGTTTGAGTGAGTCTACGGGTGTCTGTGTCCATGTACGTAGCCTTGGGATTGTAATTGAGAGACGCTGTGGGGATCCAGGTGATGGAGTGAGTAGCCTTCAGCTGTTGTGCCACTTCTAACGTTGTCGTTTTTAGCGGGTCGGAGAGGCGGGGCCTGGTCTGGACCGCAGCCTGCCCCTCGCCTGGGCCCCCGCACCTCGGCACCGAGGTGACGGTGCGGAGCGGCGGAGACGCCCTGCACACAGGCACTGTACGCCAGGTGTGCACTGTACGCACTGCACCCAGAACACTGTACGCCAGGTGTGCACTGTACGCACTGCACACAGAACACTGTACGCCAAGGTGTGCACTGTACGCACTGCACACAGAACACTGTACGCCAGGGTGTGCACTGTACGCACTGCACACAGAACACTGTACGCCAGGTGTGCACTGTACACACCGCACACATTCACTGTACGCCAGGTGTGCACTGTACACACTGCACACAGAGCACTGTACGGCAGTTGTGCACTGTACGCACTGCACACAGAACACTGTACGCCAAGGTGTGCACTGTACGCACTGCACACAGAACACTGTACGCCAGGTGTGCACTGTACGCACCGCACACATTCACTGTACGCCAGGTGTGCACTGTACACACCGCACACATTCACTGTACGCCAGGTGTGCACTGTACACACTGCACACAGAGCACTGTACGGCAGTTGTGCACTGTATGCACTGCACACAGAACACTGTACGCCAGGTGTGCACTGTACGCACTGCACACAGAACACTGTACGCCAAGGTGTGCACTGTACGCACTGCACACAGAACACTGCACGGCAGTTGCGCACAGTACGCACTGCACGCATTGGATCTGCGTTCACGTCGCGCTCCCTGTCAACGTCGACCCAGCCCCCAGCTGGGAACCGGTGTCGCGAATGCCCCAACCAGCAAGCACCAAATTCCGGCAGAGAATCTTGGGTCACACGCCGCGACCAACAGAAAGCTACCGGTGCACGGAGACTTGCACGCCGATGGACCCGGCCCTTCGGGTTGTACAACTGGACGTCGCGGCTCTCTCAGCGGCTAAGCGGACACTCGTCAGCAAGTTTAGCCCGCCGTTGCCTGTGCGTCGATGCAGTCTGCCTGCAGGACAGGAGACGCACGTAGCGGAACCGGCTTGCAGGACGCCGCACCGTTCGGGGGGGATTCGACCTCGCGTCTCTCGTCAACACCCGACGCCAAATTTTGCGCCGTGCGACGTAAGCGCGCGCTCTGATATCGCCGATGCCTCTCCGATCTCGTCCAGCTTTTTGCGACGCGCTCCGGGTCGGAGGGTTCAAGATCGCCGACGTCTACGAGCCAGCCCCCAGTTGCGCAGTCGGACCAAAATGTGCTTCCAACTCTTGAACACCCCCCACTTTGACAGTCGCCACGCCGAGATTTGGTTTGCTCCGCGCCAAGTGAGGACTGGGGGAGCGCTGTGTGGAATGGGCAACCAGCAGTGATCTAACATTGACCCACGATGCCAAGCAACGTGGGTCCTTCCACTCCGCCAAGTGGCAGATGGGTTACTCACCTGACCGTTGCTGGGTCACGGCCGTCGGTGACCGTAATCAGCCAGCAAGCCCAAACAGTTTTAGACGAGAATAAAATAATCGAATAAAACAATAAAAATTCTCGCGACGTTTCGGCCACAACACAAGTGGCCTTCTTCAGGTGAAAGGAACAGACCTGTCGCCCCGAACAAACCTGTCGTCCCGACAGGGTTTGTTCCTTTCACCTGAAGAAGGCCGCTTGCGTTGTGGGCGAAACGTCGTGAGAATTTAATTCTTTTGTTTTATTATTTTATTCTCATTCTACGTGGTGGTGACTTTACCGAAAGAACCAAAGAAGATGAATCCTTGCAGTCATGAAAGCCTTAAATCGAAAGTTTTAGACGATTTAAAGCTTTGTTGACTGCAGGGATTCACATTCATGGTTCTTTCGGTAAAGTCGTCACCACCACGTAGAAGGGAAACAACAAAATCTATTTTTATTATTTTATTGTTTCCCTTCTTACGTGACTTTACCGAAAGAACCAAGAATATAGTTTTAGACGACTTCCTCCACAGTCATCGCAGGCCACTGCTCACCCGTGTTGGACTTCAACTGCACACACGGCTCGTCCAAGAAGCGTTGGAACTTCCGTAAGGCTGGTTGGGACTTACGCAGCGACATACCGGAACGAGCCATAGTCAACTTCCATCTCGCTGCACAGCAAAACCTTGGATTGCGAGTTAACTTTGGCCTGCGAGCGTTTTGCAGGACGAGCAGAAATGTTAATTAAATATTAATTCGATAGGCGAGCGAGGGCCTTGGCAATACGAGCGGCGCACGTGTACACGCTTTGTACTGCCGAGCGTCACGCGATCACAACTGATACACGTTGTGCTTTGATGTACGAGTGCTTTGGATCACAAACACGTTACGCTCGCAATCCAAGGTTTTACTGTGTCCCAATGGAAGAAGCTTATTCGACGCTTCTGGAGAGCAATCTTCGGTGCAGCCAGGAGCGTCTGTACCACGTAAGCCGTAGGCCAGTCTACACACCCTGTTTGGGATGAAGAGTGCTAGGCTCTTTACATTATGAGACCTCCTTTGCCAGTAACAAGATATAGTAATAGGTTTTACCCTTTTAACTGGCACAAAAACTGACACCTTTGTTCAAGGCATCATGTTTGCAATAACAACACAAGCAGTCAAAATGCAAACAAAGAGACAACTCTGATAATAATATGCACTGTCCTTGAGTTTGATTGGTCCACACCCGAGACGGCTTTTCTTAGAGCCCTTTAGTCTCCACTGGTGTTGGATAAGAAGGCGCCAAAAGGCGTACAACTCAAAAAACGGTGCACTATCAGAGTATTGAGGGCTCGGGGTGAGCATTTACATTATGAGACCTCCTTTGCCAGAAACAAGATATATAGTAATAGGTTTTACCCCTTTTAACTGGCAATTTGACTGCTTGTGTTGTGGTTATTGCAAACATGATGCCTTGAATAAAGGTGTCAGTTTTTTTGTGCCAGTTAAAAGGGTAAAACCTATCACTATATGCTAGGCTCTTATCGATGAGTGTGAAGCATCCGGAGGTTTCGGACATTGCCGATGATTGAATCGAGTCCCCAGATGAACTCGATGAGAGGAAACGACGGAGAAACGCAACGTCGCTAACTCCAGCCGGAAATGCCGAGGCCAAATTCGTCGGCCGCGGGCGGGGGGGGGTGGGGGGGGTGGTGCTGCTCAGAAACCTGCCGGTCTCCAAGCTCGCACCTGCGTGGTCAGCCCGAATGCCGCCGCTAGCCCCGTCTGCTTCGAGTTTGCGAAAGCCCCGATGAAGGAAGAACGCCCAGCGTCAGGTTTGGGGAGGTGAGAGTGGCGGCGATGCTGCCATCGAAACACAAATCGGTTTCGTAGACGGAGGCAGCCCGAAGGCATTCACGGAGTCCGGAGCCAGAAACGGCTTCGCGCGGCATAAAAATCGGGGCACTGCCGCAGGACACACGAAGCAATCGGGCCAGGCCCCCGGGGTTCCCATCGCTGCCCCGGGGTGGGAAAACCGGCGTGTCGTACACGAGTCTTGTCGCCTTGCCGGCAAACAAAGCTAGCGGTCAATCGGTTGGCCTCGTCGAGAGCCACTCGCCGGGGGGGGAGGGGCACCGAGTTGAAAAATTACACAAACACGTTCAATTCACCGCCTGGGTGGGGCGGGGGGGTGGGGGGGTGGGTGGGCGGGCGGGGCTCGCCTAGGCAAAGAAGCCGAGGATCGACGGCTGACCGGAGGGCGTCGTCGGCATCGTCCGCCTGCTGCTGCTGTCGGCGCGGGCCTGGGCGGGCGGCCCGTCGCCGTCGGGGTCACGGGTGGGGCGGACTGAACCACGACGACGACGACGACGACGACGAGAATAATTATTGACCTGATTTTGATTCGCATGGCAACATCTTGCCCTGAGTTCCTGAAGCACCTAGGCTCGTAACCTTCTGCACGCGGGGGGCATGCAGGAACAGAGAATGCCGCGGGCGTGACTACAGGCAGTGGTAATTGCTGTCCCCAAAGCCCGGTAAGGATTCGAGCAGGGCGGCCCGCTACTGGCCAATTTCCCCGCTCTCCGTGCGTTTTAAAATCTGCTGGAGCGCCCGATCCTGCAGCGGAATACTCCGGAACTGGAGAACACCGTCGCAGTTGAGCAGGCGGGTTTCGGGCAAGGGCGCGGTACCCTTGACCAAGTCCTTGCTCTGACAACAGTCATCGAGAATGGGTACCGGGAAAACCTGAAAACTGGAACCGTTTCGCTTGACCCGACGGCAGCGTACGACGCGGTCTGGCATGCAGCTAACCAGAGTGATGCCACGCTGGGTAGGATGAAAATGACCGAACTTTTCCCCCACGATAGACGATTTTGTGTGCACATGGGAGACAAATGCAGCTCTCGGAGAAGACAAACGAATGGACTGCAGCGGGCTTCAGACCAATCTGCAAGCCTCTTCAACATCTACATCAACGACACAGTCACGCAAATGCATCTGTGCCGATGTCGTTTGCCTTGGAACCCAAAAACTCAAAAGTCGCGCATTCACCGAGGTAGAGAGAGAGAGAGAGAGTGCTAAAAAAAAGAGACGGAGATGATGGCGGAGTACCTCGACCGATGGCGACCGCAACCAAGCGCAAAACCGGAACGGGTCCCCAATGTTTGTGACGTGCACAGCGCGAAAGCGAACCAGGAATGCCGCAACGTCGTCTCTACCTCAAGGTTTCGGCACATCAAGCATGACCCGAATCCGGTTTCACCCTGGCGGGACCTTGGGCAGATCGCCGATTGATGCGCCACGAGCACCTGAAGAAAACGGTGAACCGGCTGGTCCCGAGTCGGGGCGCAAGCGCCCAGGCGCTCAAGACGACAGCGCCTGGCTCTGTGTCATTCGACGGCGGAGCACTGCCCTCCGGGTGTGGTCCAGATCGTCCCACCGCAAGCTGGCTGGCGCGCAACTCAACAGCACGTCTACGCGTGCCGTAACTGGAATGCCAACGCCCAACTCCACTGCCGTGGCTGCCAGTGCTCGTCGACGTCCCCAACCGCCACACCTCCGTCGACGGAGAGCAACGGCCAAGCTTTAAATCAAAATTTAAATCAAAATTTAACAGCCAAGCTGTTGGGCAAAGCTTCATGGCAATGCCGACTCTTTGGTTCTATTCGGTGAAGTCGCGTAGGTGAAAATTAAATAGCAAAAATCGCGGCGTTTCGGCCACAACACAAGCGGCCTTCATCAGGTGAAGGGACGAGACTGTGCCCGGAGGACAGCGCTGGAGTGAAAGACAGCCAAGCCCCCAGGTCGCGTCCTTTAAGCTGTGCGGGAGGAAACATGGCAGTGGCAAGTTACCGCTCCGTGCGGATATCTTGTCGCACCCAGCGGCAACGCATGTGCCTTCGGGACGCCCAGTCCGGTTGGGTCCGCCGCCAGGGGACTCGAAAGCTAATTCGGCGTGGAGCTCCGAGTGGTCGACAGCCGATGTCGCGAACCGCTCTCCCGTAGCCGAGCCGTCTGTCTCTCTCTCTCTCTCTGCCCCTCTTGGCTTCGACCTTCTGCGACGGAAATGAACAACGCCGAACCGATATGCGGACGGGGACAAGGTCGCTGCGTGGTCAACCTCGTCCGCTGGGGGGGGGGGGGGGGGTTCAGGCTGCCGACCCAACCTGCAGGTGGGGAGCACCGCAGGGCGATGTCGCGCATTGCGAGCGGCAGTCGCACCGGCGGACTAACTACCGGCGCGTCGCCGTGCCGAAGGCGAATCTGCTCGTTGGCTCGGGCACGCGGCGCAAACGCTAACGATAATAATAGTAATAATGATCATCGACTGCTCACAGAACATCGGCGCCTGGATGTCAGGTGTGCACTGTACACCTGCGAAGCACTGTCCCCCAGGTGCGCCCCGTACGCCCACACTGCACTGTATGCCAGGTGTGCACTGTATGCACCGCTCTGCACACACATTGCACTGTACAGGGCACTGTATGCACCGCTCTGCACACACGCACTGTGCTGGGCGTGCACTGTATGGGCACTGTCCACACATTGTACTGTACAGGGTGGGCACTGTATGGGCGCTGTCCACACATTGTACTGTACAGGGCACTGTATGCTGGGTATGTATGCTGTACAAATGTTGATGATGATGACGGTCATGGTGATAATGACGATGATGTTGTTTGTGATGGTAATGATGATGGTGGTGGTGATGATGACGATCGTGATGATGGTGGTGGTGGTGATGATGATGGTGGTGGTGATGATGATGACGGTCATGGTGATGATGGAAATGTTGATGATGATGTTGTTTATGATGGTAATGATGATGGTAATGTTGATGGTCATGCAGGTGAGAAGGGGAATGGAGTCATGTCTTATCAGGTTCCAAGATGGATCAGAGTGTTGGGTCCTCTGGAAAGACATTCACTCTGGTAACCTCGCCACAACACCCAGCCACTCACCCACCCACTCACCCACCCACTCACTCACCCACTCACCCACCCACTCACTCACCCAGCCACTCACTCACCCACCCACTCACCCACCCACTCACCCACCCACTCACCCACCCACTCACCCAACCACTCACCCACCCATCCACCCACCACGTCACCCACCTACCACCTCACTCACTCATCCACCCACCCACTCGCCCACCGACTCACCCACCCACTCACCCACCCACTCACCCACCCATCCACCCACCACCTCACCCACGCATCCACCTACCGACCCATCCACCCACTCACCCACGCATCCACTCACTCACCCACTCACCTACCCACTTACCCAACCACCCACTCAACCAGTCACTCACCCACCCATCCACCCACCACCTCACCCACCCACCACCTCACTCACACATCCACTCACTCACCCACTCATCCACCCACCCACTCGCCCACCACCTCACCCACCCACCCACTCACCCACCACCTCACTCATCCACCCTCTCACCCACCACCTCACTCACCCACCCATCCACCCACCCCCTCACCCACCCACCACCTCACCCACGCATCCACTCACTCACCCACGCACCCACCCACTCGCCCACCACCTCACCCACCCACTCACTTATCCACCCACTCGCCCACCACCTCACCCACTCATCCACCCACCCACCACCTCACCCACCCACTCATTCATCCACCCACCCACCCACCACCTCACCCACCCACTCAATCATCCACCTACTCACCCACCACCTCACCCACTCATCCACCCACCCACCACCTCACCCACCCACTCAATCATCCACCTACTCACCCACCACCTCACTCACTCATCCACCCACCACCTCACCCACCCACTCACTCATCCACCCACTCGCCCACCACCTCACCCACGCATCCACTCACTCACTCACTCACTCACCCACCCCCCTCCCCCCCCCTCCACTCCACTTGGCTGTCCATCGAAGTCGATGATGACGCTGCTCCTCTGGTGGATTGGCCGTAGGGGTGGGTTAGCGCTCCTGTGGACCGTGCCACTCCGACTCGGCTGTGGGGGGCCTTTGCGAGAGCCGCACACTCCACTGCCGCAGCTGCGACTTGCGGCGTGCTGTTGGCTGTCGGGTGTCTCTGGGTACGTCTCCCGCACCTCCCCTGCGAGACGGCGGTCTTCCAGGCGCCTAACCCCTCCGGCACGGGCGGGTCCGCCAGGTGGACCCGTGCACAGCGCCAGGAGGTATCCAGGCCCAGGGGGTTGTGGTGCGGGGGGCCGGGGGGGGGGGGGTCGATGTAACGGCGCTTCAGCAGCCTCGCTTTGCCGCGGTCCTTGAAGCCGCCAGTTTCCGCCCTGCGCCCCGAGTAGTGCCCCCAGCCCCCGTAGAGAAATCGACGGGGGAGGTTGTGGTCGAGGCGCGCGGAACAACGTGGCCGTGCCAGCGGAGGTGTCGGCGAGGATCTTCCGTGCGTAGGGATGCTTTGTCCTCCCGGGTCGGACCCTAGGATGCCCCGGAGGCGTCCGATGTTGGAAGTTCTTCCAGGATGCCCTTTGGTTCTGTTCGGTAGAGTCACCACGGTAGGTAAGAAGAAAAAAATAAAACGACAAAAATCACGGCGTTTCGGCCACAACACAAGTGGCCTTCGTCAGGTGAAGGGACCGGGCTGTCTCGAGGACAGCGCTGGAGTGAAAACACAGCCACGCTCAGACCGCGGACCTTTAAGCTGTGTGCGAGGAAACAAGGTGCCTTGACAAAGGAATTAGCATAAACAAATTAGCATTTGATTGGCCGACTTAGCATGATGAACGGTGTAGAGGTGGTGTACATGCGGGTGAACATGCCGGTTGGCGAGGGGGGGAGGGGGAGTTTACCTATTGATGGTGTGAAAAGGGAATTTTTAAGAGCTGCGAAAGTTTGGGGTACCACTACTTGAAAAATATACTGTACCATTGAAAATTAGTTTAATGTTTGGTTCGATTTAGAACATCTTTTCAATGGTTGCTTAATTTGAAACCATCTTCTCGGTTGAAATTGTGTCTGTGTTTGTAGATCCGAATTGCCTCGTGAACAAATCTCTGATAAAAACCCGTGGGTTTGCAAAGAACCTTGGTGTCGGAGAAAATTATATCGTGATCACCCACAGCGTTGTAACAGTGATCAGCTACGGCAGAAGAATTCATTCTGCCGTGTTTAAAATCTGATTTGTGCTCGCGAATTCGGTCAGAGACATGTTGCTTTGTCTCCCCGATATAGCAATCACCGCAGGTACAACTCAATTTGTAAACCCCGGGGTAATGTAAGTCAGGAATGACATCCTTCACGGATGGGATCAGATCACGAATTTTGTGTACTGTATTGAACCGGACCTGGATCTTGTGTTTGTTTAGAATTTTGGAAATCTTTTTAGTAACGCCTGCTATATATGGTAGTGTGTTTGGTTTTGACCGGAGTATCAACTGGTTGTTTCTGTATGGAGGGAGAGACAGCTTGGCGGATGGTACGGTCAGAGTATCCATTCCTTTTTGAGGGCCAGGTGTACATGTTTTAATTCACTGTTTCCTGGCACACAGCTTAAAGGTCGTGGTCTGAGCGTGGCTGTGTTTCACTCCAGCGCTGTCCTCGAGACAGTCTGGTCCCTTCACCTGATGAAGGCCGCTTGTGTTGTGGCTGAAACGTCGTGATTTTTGTTTTACTTTTTTTTACCTACGTGGTGACTTTACCGAATAGAACCAAAGAGTATGGATCCTTGCAGTCACGAAAGCTTCAAATCTAGAGTTCTTCCAGGATATTGATGTGCCCGCCTGCACGGTGAGGGGGGCTTCAGGTCTCCGTGCTGTAAAGGCCAGGGCAGAGACGACAAATGGCGTGTGTGTGTCTGTGTGTGTGTAGTGTGTGTCTGTGTGTGTGTGTGTGTCTGTGTGTGTGTGTGTGTCTGTGTGTGTGTCTGTGTGTGTCTGTGTGTGTGTCTGTGTGTAGTGTGTGTGTGTCTGTGTGTGTGTGTGTCTGTGTGTGTGTGTCTGTCTGTGTGTGTGTGTGTCTGTGTGTGTGTCTGTGTGTGTCTGTGTGTGTCTCTGTGTGTGTCTGTGTGTAGTGTGTGTGTCTGTGTGGGTGTAGTGTGTGTGTGTGTCTGTGTGTGTGTGTCTGTGTGTGTGTGTGTCTGTGTGTCTGTGTGTGTGTAGTGTGTGTGTGTCTGTGTGTGTGTCTGTGTGTCTGTGTGTGTCTGTGTGTGTCTGTGTGTGTGTAGTGTGTGTGTGTCTGTGTGTGTGTGTGTCTGTGTGTGTCTGTGTGTGTCTGTGTGTGTGTCTGTGTGTGTCTGTGTGTGTCTGTGTGTAGTGTGTGTCTGTGTGTGTGTCTGTGTGTAGTGTGTGTGTCTGTGTGTGTCTGTGTGTGTGTGTCTGTGTGTGTCTGTGTGTGTGTCTCTGTGTGTGTCTGTGTGTGTGTGTGTCTCTGTGTGTGTCTGTGTGTGTCTGTGTGTATGTGTCTGTGTGTGTGTCTGTGTGTGTCTGTGTGTGTTTGTGTGTCTCTGTGTGTCTCTGTGTGTGTCTGTGTGTGTGTCTGTGTGTGTCTGTATGTAGTGTGTGTGTGTCTCTGTGTGTCTGTCTGTGTGTGTCTGTCTCTGTGTGTGTCTCTGTGTGTGTCTGTGTGTGTGTGTCTCTGTGTGTGTCTGTGTGTGTCTGTGTGTCTCTGTGTGTGTCTGTTTGTGTGTCTGTGTGTCTGTTTTTGTGTCTGTGTGTCTGTGTGTCTGTGTGTGTGTCTGTGTATGTGTCTGTGTGTGTCTGTATGTAGTGTGTGTGTCTCTGTGTGTCTCTCTGTGTGTGTCTGTGTGTGTGTGTGTCTCTGTGTGTGTGTGTGTCTCTGTGTGTGTCTGTGTGTGTGTCTGTGTGTGTGTCTGTGTGTAGTGTGTCTGTGTGTGTCTGTGTGTGTGTCTGTGTGTGTGTCTCTGTGTGTGTCTGTATGTAGTGTGTGTCCATAATAAAGGTTTTTTGGGTTAGATCGCGTTTATTTATAAATGTGTCGTAACCCTCCACCACCCGACACGGCCAATCAGCAAAGAAAAGTGTCACGTTGACAAAAGACAAATAATTCACTACTTCAGCCCACCGGTGTGTTGAAGAGTTAATCCACATTTACAGTTTGAGTACGACGTTTCGCTGGTAAATACTTCCAGCATCATCGGGCAATTCGCCAGAATGGTAAAGCCCTCGCTTGCTCCCGGTTTTATATAGAGCAGAAGAGTGACGTCATCACTTAACTCATCAGGTGCAGTGATTAGAGGCGGAGGGGGGGGTAATGTAATTATATAATCGATTAGTAATCAGTCATTGGTTATGATTAGTAATGAGTTGTAGATTAGTAATTCTTTAAATCAAAATGTAATGTGTATTATTTAATAATACGCTTCCAGGCCGCACTGAGCCGGTAGCTGTCAGAGCGATTAAAGTTATTCTTGTTCCTCTCAATTTCAATGGATTCTCTAATTAGTCTTTGCCAGTAATAATTAGTTTTACACACCACTGCAACATTGTCAAAATCAATTGAGTGTCCTTGTTGACAAGCATGTTCTGCCACTGCCGACAGTTGTGTTTGAGATAATTTAATATTTCTCTGATGTTCTTTTAGTCTTACGCTGATGTTACGTCCCGTCTGCCCAATGTAGCAGCTGCCACATGAACAATTAATCCGATATACACCTTCTGTTGATAGTTTAGGTAATGCGTCTTTAGTGCAAGATACTAGTTTTTGAATTTTGTGTACTGTACCAAATCTTACTGTAATGTTTTGCTTTTGCAAAACGCGGGCTAATTTGTCAGTTACTCCTGAGATATATGGATTTTTTATTGTTTTAACAATCTGGTCGCTTTCAGTAGTATTGCTTTGCGATCGTGATTTGGCATTCAGTGCTCTGTTAATTTGAGCATTATTGTAGCCATTCTGTCGTAGTGCGTCTTTAACGTGTTTAATCTCTCTCACTAGACTCTCACC